TCGGTATTTGCTGGCGAAATCTAATGCTTTATTCAGTAATTTCTCGGTTATGGATGGGTAGAAGTCACAAACGTCAAAAGATATAAACAAGAGCGATTTTTTGTTTTCCAAGTTGTTAAACCATCTCAAAAGACTTGATGTGTTTTTCCATTGGTTTATCTGTGTTGCGTTAATAATTGCTGCATTTATTTCGTCGAGGATGTGTTTGCTAATTACACCGATCTCAGATTTGGTGGGGTTGATTAAACGGCATGTAGGATGGTTTTGGAATTCGGGTTTATGGTCTTTCAAAGTTATAAAGGCTTCTTTCTGTGCTAGCACTTCGATTCGGTCATCTAATTTAAGCTTCCTCGATATACTAGCCGCTTTCTTATTGATTTGTTTGACAGTTTTATTAGTTGACTTCTTGTATGTTTTGGTCACATTTTCGGTGATGAGCTTTTGATAACAGGATTTTTGCAATGCGTAAAAATTTGTCGTTTTATCCGCAGGGACAAGTACCGTGTCTGGTTTCTTGATGTAGGTCTTGACATCATTGTTCAATTGTTTCTGAAAGCTGCATTTTACAGGTCTAAACTTGATGTTCTGGATCATGGTTAGCATGTCGTCTTCAAAGAAATTTTTATTGGGCAATGCAATTACTTAGTTAGAACGATGAACTATAGCTTTTAACACTTAGCATATACACATTATCTTAATCCATCCGTGAAACAATACAACAATGAACATAATAATGTAGAGACAATGAACCCATATAGTACTTAGATTTTATACAAATTCAATATGACTTTTTAGCATTTTAAATTTATTGTAATTTGTTTATCAATGAACTTGCCATGTAACATCTTCGATCGGCATTCGCCTGACGATTGCTTCAGCAGAAGCATGAAACTCAGAGTAGCAATTAAATGTTTTTAAACTAAGAAGTCTCTCTTAACTCTATATATATATATATATATATATATATATATATATATATACCAAGATATTTAATAAAGTCTCCTTTACTACAATGTTTTTAATCCGTATATTTCTAACTTTCTTATTTGAGTTAGTGATAACCATAAAATTTGTCTTATCCAAATTAATTGAAAGCTTATTTGTAGCACAGTAACGAAATATTTTTTCAATATTTCTATATTCATAACGTTTTCAACATCTTCAATGAATAAAATACATTTGTGTCGCGTCTGCGAATATTCGGAACGAAAGTTTGCCACTGCAATTAGGCATGTCATTTATATAAATTAAGAATAATAATGGTCCGAGAGTTGAACTTTGAGGAACTCCACAAGTCATTGTAAGGGACTGCTCATTATTTATTGTACAGGGGGAGACTGAGGAGAAACTCTACAGTTATAATATTTTTTCGTTGCCCCCCTCTTAAGATAAGTAAAATTTTCAAAGCCCCCCCCCCCAAAAGGCAAAACAAGATCATAAATTTTAACCACCCCCCAGCTCTTTATCTTTATTTAGAGAAACAAAAACTCTAGCTCTTTATTTAGAGAAACACAAATAGATATTGGGGACCAATAGACAATTCCCATTATACACTAAAAAAGTATATTCCCGGGAAGGGCATACTAAAATTAATAAAATTGCAATGTTTGGTTGCAAAATGTTGTAAAATGTAGAAAATATATAGCCTTCCAAAGTTGCAAAAATTTTGTATACTTTTGTATTGCAATTTTCGCATGCAATACAAAAGTATACAAAATTTGCAAACTTTGCAAGGCTATATTTTCCGTATTTTACAACATCTCGCAACCAAACTTTGAAATAATTTACTTATTTAAGTATGCTCTTTCTAGCAATGGTGATTTATTTGCATCAAGGCCGGATTTTGAGGGGAGGTGTGGAGAGGTGCGCACCTCCCCTGAGATCGTTTTGCACCTCCCCTGAGAATTTTTGCACTTCTCCTGAAAGGTCATGCACCTCCCCTTCGGAAAGTTTCAATGATGGAACAAAGTGAAAATGTGATGGTTGCTTAGGATCTACACTTCGTGACATAAGAAAGTTTTCTCTGTAAAATTGAAACAGTGATAGCCATTCATATCTGTGTCAAGTACACTGTTAATGCAATGTTTTGAAAGAAACTTTGTAGCAATTGCAATGAAAGGCAAGATTGGAGTCATACATTCATAATTCATTAATACACTGGTACATATGTACACTACATGCATACCTCGCCTTGTTGATATTGGCCTGTTCTACAATAAGCCCTAATTTTCCATGGGGGTTGTGAGCTAGACTGCTGCACCTCCCCTAACATTTTTTTCCACCTCCCCCACTATTTTCACCAAAATTCGGCCTTGATTTACATCTCTTTGCCTAGTTCTAAATTAATCTACAATGGGAATTGTCTATTTACACGAACATAAGAGACTTGGCTTCCATTTATAAATATTAGGTCTATAAACATTATTTGTTGTTAAGTTGTTTTGTGATACATTTTTAAAACTAGTAATGTTTTAAAATTCAAACTGGTAAATATTTTCAAAGCCCCCCTTCTTTCGTCTCTCTGTATTTTTTCAAAGCCCCCCCTTTCAGGTTTTAAAAAATTTAAAGGCCCCCCCAGTTTCTCCTCAATCCCCCCCTGTACAATAAATAATGAGCGGTCCCTTAGAGGGGGTGGAAGTTTTCCAGAGGGGGTGCATGATACTACAAGGATCTGGAGGCATTTTCCCCCATAAAATATTTGAAACCTGATTTAGTCCTGAAGTGCCATTTCCTGCATTCTGGACACTACATTTATTTGTTAACCCATTGAGTTGCAGCACTCTCCCCCTGATGAGTAAAATCGTTTGGCATTAAACAGGGTAAAATAATAAAATAGGGTGCATCCTGGTACATTGCCTGCACTTAAGGGGTTGAAGTACTTGAATTTCAGACAAAAATTAACAGTAGTGCTGTATATATTCAGGGCGTTAGCTACATTAAATTACCATTTTTACAATTACGTTTAGCCAGCACATTCACAATTTAGATACAAAAACTTAACTAGCTATTATATACGGTATATAAATAAAAAAGATTGTTCCACTGAAATTTACATTTTCATTAATTTAAATTGCAAAATGTTTTAATCTTCTGGCACCCTGATATCGTTATATGGTACTGACTCGCTGTATTGATGATTGAATATTTTATTGCATATTCAAAATTCAATCATTTCAATATAATAATAATTATTATTATATACACAAGGTCTGGATATGAGGTATTCTGCAATCTGATTGGTTCTCTACTAGCAGGATATTAGCTCACATCCTGCTAGTAGAGAAAAACAAAATGGCGGCCAAACTGAATTTACGATGTTTTGCAAACGAGAAAACGGCAAGTTGTCGCTTTTTATAGCCTTCACAGGATTAAAAACACAATGAAAAACTCCCACAAATTGTTTTCAGGTTAGCAAATAAATTTTTAATATTTAAAATGGTTAAAAATATATATTTTTGAAAAAATAATCGGCCGAAAGAGCGAAGATAAAAACATAAACAAAATAGAAAAATATTGAAAATATTCGAAAAGCAAAGTCTGTGAATTCAGACCTTGTGTATATAATAAAACAGTTATTGCACTCACTCTCGTCGAATATGAGCGATAGCCGATTCGGCGCTACGCGCCTCATCGGCTATCAGCTCATATTCGACTCGAGTTCGTAGAATAACTGTTAATTATTCACAACTCAAATATGGAATACAAGAGTTTTCATCAAGGGGGTGCACCCCTCCCCCGGTAGATCTGCCCCCGGGACAGAGTGAACTAACAAAGTAGCTATGGTATTGTGCATTAGGTGTAATGCTGTTTAAGAGAGTAAGCCTCAGTCCATAATCATTAATTAATCAGTTAGCTGTCAATATAATTGTTTGAAATACGAAAAGCTATTTTTTTCTTTCATGTGGATTTTTCAGTTTATTTTTTCTTGCTTATTCTCGGGTGCAAACAAAACTTTAACAGGATCCTATACTGTTTGTGTTACATGTTTGCAACATATGTATTTCATGCAATCCTCTGTTAGCTAAAATTTACTTTTCACTGATATTGTCCCTTATTGTGGATGGAGACATCGGCAATCTGCATCTACCTCTTACATACAAGTACGTGGCATTGAAAAAGGAGGGGGACTTCGAAGAATTCCATTTAAAGAATATACTGTTTGTGAATTGCTTGACGAAGCCAAGAGAATTTTTTTCCCTGAAGGTAAAAGTGGTTATGCAAAAGCACAAGAACTTGAACTTTGTGAATGCAGTTTAGGCAGTTTTACTTGTGGCAAGTCTATTTTACTGGAAACCTTCTATCTTTACATGATTCCAACTTTTCAATTTCAAAGTATTTAACTGACAATGGACTGTTTGCGTTTCGGGTAAGATTCTACTTACTTACAACTGCCAAAAATCAAGACACTCTTGACAACGTTAGCTCAAGCTGCGAATCTGTGGAACAACTCAGTCGTTCTTTGTCTTCATCAAATGCAATCAATGATGATGCAGTAAGAAGTGCAACTGACAGTGGTGTTGAACAGGAAGTGTCTGAAAGTCTACATGTTGGTGATAGTAAAAAATCATTTGTGGTTGAATTTTGCCGGCATGTAATGTCACATTACACAAGTGATGTTAGTTCCCTGTTCATGGTTTGTTGGGCTGGTTGCTGTTTTGAAACATGAACCCGTTCGTATATATATACTTTATTAAACTGAACCCTATTCCTAAGTACACAAGCTATTATATACCTGTGGTACGCCCACAGTCTGCATTGCTAATTACTATTTACTGAATTACAATATTCTAATTATAACATCTCCCTTCTTAAAGAAAGTAATATATTTTTTTGTGTGTGTTCTTTTTGTACTTTGTCCTCTGTATCTACGATTCTAATAAATAACTACTAAAGTCTCTAACCTAAAGGTTCATAACACAAATATTTATATATATGTGTGTCCAACGTCATTATTATCAAATATAGTTAATTAAATATGTTTCAATATCTCTGGAAAATTGTCAATATTCCTCAATGTACCGTTTTGGTTTCCTTATAACACGTCCGCTTGAGGTATGGCTTGGCGTATTCTGTAACGTTCTTTCTGGATTTCTTCGATCTGCCACTCTTCTTGACAATTCGCTTGTTTCTGGGTTGATCTCAGGAACAACTTCAGGAATCGCTTGAAAAATGTCGTCTTCAAGAATGTCGTCAGAAACTGCTTTAGGAACAGCTTGAAGATGTCGTCTATTTCTCCGCATCTTTTTCCCCTCTGGAGTGTCCACAATGTATGATCTTGGTGTAGATCCATATGCACTGACAACTCCAACAGGACTCCATTTCTTCTGATTATCGGTTTTCACCCGAACAGTTTGACCTGGTTCCAAATCAGATAAGGACTTCACACCATGCCTCTTGTTATAAGCATGACTATACCTTTCTTTCGATTCCTTGTCTACTTCGCGTACAGTCGGAAGATCTGGCCAGGCTGGTAACAGATTACGACTAAGTGTTGGAATAGTTGTGCGAATCTGTCTTCCCATGATCAATTGACTAGGACTTACACCTGTCGCTGGAATTGGAGTTGCTCGATACACCATCAACGCGAGGAACGGATCCGTTTGCTTCAAGATTCTCTTGGCTATCTTGACAGCACTTTCCGCTTTTCCGTTTGCCTGCGGATAATGTGGACTAGACGAAACATGGAGAAACCCATAATGTCATCCATAATCACTTTGGTACCAGGTTTCCCCTGAAGTAGATCGGTCATCAATCTTTGGAAAATTTCCGGAGCGGAGGATATCCCAAAGGGCAGTCTTCGAAAACAGAATCGACCAAACGGGGTAATCGGGCAGTCGGGCAATATTCGATGAACAGTCGGGCAATTTTGGTCTGCAATAAAAAAAAATGGGACAAATTCAGTCAATTTTGTGAAAATTAAGTGAATTTTTTGGAAAATTTTGTGGTTTTTCGAAAATTTGTGTTATGTTCCGAAAAATATTGGTTGTCCGGAAAATTTTTTTGACCCCTAAAATGGTACACTGACCGAAATTTTTTTGGCAACGGGGGGGGGGGAGGGAGGTCGCCAAAATAATTTTTCCGGAAAAATTTTTTGGTACTAGTCGGGCAGAATCCCGAAAAGTCGGGCAATTTTCTTTCCGCCCCCCTAATTTTTTCCTTCCGGTACGCCCATGAATGAAGGTCGTCATTTTAGAGCTTTCAGGATGTAAAGGGATCTGCCAAAATCCACTAGCAGCATCTAATTTTGAGAACACTTCGGATCCATGAAGTGAAGGCGCAATATCATCTAAACTGGGCAAAACATATCTTTCGCGTTTAACAGCCTCGTTTAGTTTCTTCAAATCAACACAAATTCGTACTTGACCATTCTTCTTTGGGACTGGGACGATAGGGGCACACCACTCAGTTGGCTCTGTCACCTCTTCAATGATCCCTTCGTCTTTCATTCTTTTCAACTCGGCTTCCACCAATGGCAGTAGAGGAAAGGGTATACGCCTCGGGGTACTCACACTGTAAGGTTTAGGATTATCGTGTAAATGTATCTTGACGGGTTCACATTTCAAGAGCCCTCTATCTCCAAATACGCTGTGATCAGTAATTTCATGCACCCTTTTAACCAAAACCATTTGAGTGGAAAGTTCTCGACCCAGCAAACAGTTCACATTTTTCCCCGAACAACAAAAATACGAACTGGATATTCCACCAATTTATATGATAAAATTGCAGTAATTTCACCAATACATGCAATTATTCCCCCAGGACCTTGAAGGACAGCTGTTGTTGATTGAAGGGGTGGACGCGGTACTAAATTACTGTAAATGGCTTCTGGTATGACTGTTATATCAGCTCCGGTATCTATCTTAAATTTAGTTGGTTGCCCATTCAACTTAAGGTCAACTTGCCAGGGATCTTTGTCCCGGTTACATGACATAACGGAACCCAAAAAGAAAGTTTCGTCCCACTCTCGGACAAGTTCGTCCGACTTCTTTGAAATTTCACCAACAGCTTTCCTTTGTATAGTTTTAGTTCTACACACAGCGGAAAAATGCACTATCTTAGCACATTTTCTACATTTCTTACCTCTTGCAGGACATTGTGACTCAGTAACATGCTTTCTATTGCACCTACCACACCGCTGTTGTTGTTGAAATGATAACGTCTGTCTTTTGTTCCCATCACCTCGGCGATAATTCCTTTGTCGTTGCACTTCGTCAATCTGCTTTGTCTCTAATGACTCACGCTCGATCAATTGGCTTTTAACCGGCTAACTCCGATTGTCTTGCTATTTCTACCACCGATTGTAGATCCAAACCGGCTTTCATCTGTAACCTTTGCGACACGTTTTTATCTAATAGTCCAATAACTATCCGATCTCGAACTTGTTCGTCTCGTGCATCGGCAAAATCACAGTTCTCTGCCAATTCATACAGGCTTCGGATGAACGCTTCAACAGTTTCTCCTGCATGCTGTCGGCGTTGATAAAACCGGGCTCGCTCGTGAATTACATTTCGTTTCGGGACAAAATAGGCATCAAATTGTGCTAGAACTGTCTCATATCCTTCTTCGCCTTTCTCAAGTCTAAAGGTTTTATAGACGTGTTCTGCTTGCTTTCCCATCGAGTATATAAGCGTGCTGACTTGAATTTCATCGTCTTCTTTGTTTAACTTCGTCGCTATTCTATAACGCTGAAAGCGCTGTTTCCATTCAGGCCACAGTTGTGGCTTAGCAAATTCGAAGTTTTCAGGCGCGTTTATCTTCAACATATTGAATATCCCACTTCTGACACCATGTTTTGAAACATGAACCCGTTCGTATATATATACTTAATTAAACTGAACCCTATTCCTAAGTACACAAGCTATTATATACCTGTGGTACGCCCACAGTCTGCATTGCTAATTACTATTTACTGAATTACAATATTCTAATTGCTGCCGCAGCGAGCGAGCCTGAAGCGAGCGAGCAAGGCAGCAGATCCTAATTTTGTTTTGTGGGTCGAAATCAAAATTTTCTATTTGGCGCATTGCATGATGGTACCAGTGAATTTTAACCGTGGTGCAGCGCGGTCAGGCATAAGGCAAACAGGCGATGTGATCATCTTTCATCTTTGGTCTTCTTTTATGGAAAGCCATAGCTGGCTTAAAGTGATCAAACGGCATTTTGTTGGGTGCTTTTAGCATTATACGGCGGTGCTTTTGGCATTATACACTGTGCTTTCGCCATTATACGCGGTGGTTCCAGTATTATACGCGGTGCTTTCACCATTTATATACGCGATGCTTTTGCAATTATACGCAGTGGTTCGTCGAGCACTATATGCGGTGCTTTTAATATTATACGCGATGCTAGCTTTCATTCAACATTATTTCCATATTCTTTCCATGACATGTATATGATTTAAGGTATGTGCATGGTTGACAAATGCTTTTTGCCTATGGTCTGCAAGGACAATGACATGCTTTTCTGTGTATATACATGTAAATGAATATAACGCAGCGAATGCGCCAAACAGTATAAACGCGTCTGAAATACGATATTAAAATCTTAAATGTGCCGTATGATTTAATTATGTTTTAGGATTTACAAATGCTTTGTCATTTGTATTTATACTTGTACTGCATCACAAGGCAGTACGTACTGTAAGTGAAAAAACTCCACATGTGAGATTGTCTTGTATATATTTTTGCTTTCTTTGATAAACACTATTAAACACGCAAATTTTAATTAGTGAGACGCAATGTTAAATGTCACCTGCATGTCATTGTCATTGCCCTTTAACCCCTGGTCTAATTGGCCGCTTTTGAAAATATTGATAGTTAGTGCCTTACATCTTCGCTGGTTGTTATACTTTAAAATAATTTTGTATGTACCGAGAAATCAATATTCCGAGTATATAAATATATAAACTGGGATGTCACTGATAGCTTGTTTACATTTCCTGGAGCATCATGAAATCTTATGTTTAACCACGGTGGTTTAACCCATTAGCTGGCAATGCCCCCTTCCCTTGTCGAGCACCAGAAGATTTTACTCGTCAGTGGTATAGGGTACTGCCAGTAAATGGGTTAACAAACCTATCTGCCAATGGCTCTTGTTAATTCATCAGCACAGTAATGACCCCTACTTTAGTATTTACCCTGTCCAACGCCAGACGATTTTTAATACTCAGTCAGTGGTAGCTGGGTACTGTCAATAAATGGGTTAACAAGGATAACAATAATTAGTATAAATCTACTAGTAGGCTATCACATATCGTGGCTTCTGATTGGCTACGCTACTAGTAGGCTATTAGTGATAGCCTACTAATAGAAAATTCAAAATGGCGGAAAATTCGCATTTTGCACTTTTGCCGAAGTGTCTGATGATTTTTTTGGACGACTTGTTGAACAATTCTGTACTAAAACCCCCGAAAAAGCAACAAAAATATGGAATGGCAATTTTTAAGGGTAAGAAAATAGACAAAATAACATACACTCAATGAAATTTTAAAATTAAAACTGAATTTTGTAAAACATTTTACGCGAACAAAAACTAAAATATTTGTTTACCTTTAATGGTTTTATAATGTTTTTTGTGTATTTTTTGTATTGTGTTTGCAGCCTAGTTGTAAATTAATGTTAAAGTTTATACTAAAACAATTAGACAACTCGGCCTCGTTGTCTATGAGCAAATAGTCAACTCGGCTTCGCCTCGTTGACTATTCGCTCATAGACAACTCGGCCTCGTTGTCTAATTGTTAATTAGCCTGCATGGCAGGCGGTATTTCCCAGGCTTGCCCAATTTTAGGAACCGCCTGCCATGCAGGCTAAACAATAATAGGATGTTTCTGAAGGACTCGTTCAACACCCTGTAGTTTGTCTTTTGCTGTCAAAGGCAGCATTACTGCCCTGTGGGTGACCTAGT